GTAAATCGGCCTTGTTCCCTTGTTGCTGCTCCCTCCCTCACCCCGCGGCGCCTCGCGCGGGGCGCATTCCCTAGGTGCTCTCTTCCTTAGTTCCTTTTCACTGGTGTCGCACCTCCATTGCGGCCTCGTTGCATGCTCCTCCATGCTGGCGAGCCTCCAAGTGCTGTCACGGAGGCACGCCGCTTCCTCGACGTCCCTCCAGCAAGTCGCCCTCGCGTGCCCCATGACACTTGGCCGAGGGCGGGCGGCGGGCGCGACGGGTGGCTGCAGGAGACAAGAAGTGCGGACGTGGAACCGCGTCCTCATTCCGGGTTTCATCACATGGAGCTATTAAGGAAAAAGCAGCGCGTGGAAATTGGTATTCAGAATATACTGTCCGGTGGGTCTGGGAACGGCGAGGAAACTTTTTACGAGCCTTCGTGTGTAATTATATGTAAATTTATATTTTTATCTAGTTTTCACTTCTGCGCGACAACGGAGCGGTCCGGTGCTAGGGGAAGGAGGGGTGGGGGTCGTAGCTGCTTGGGTCTCTTGCTGGTTCGTTCTTACGACATTCGCTTTCGGAAGATAATTATGGCGACATCATTATCGACTCCGGACATGTTAACCTACATGTCGACCGCACGAAAAAAAGTTGGGCTCATATTTGCCAAAGAAAGCAGGGAGCGGCCAGAGAAGAGCGCAGCCAAGCCGTAGCTCGTCAGACGAGGAGGCGCCAGTAACAAACACAGAAACACGAAATATATTCGGAGAACAATAAAAATCGAGCCGATCCCACGAAAAACGAGAGCAGAAGCCCCAGCGGCCAGGACTCGGCTCGCCGGCCATCCGACTAGAGGCTCTGCCGGATGTCCACGCGGGGCATCGGAGGCCCAGCGCCGCCGCCATAAACCATCGATTGGGCGCCCTATAGGCCCGGTCCCCGCGCTCGTCGCCCGCGCCACAATATTCATTTAGATACAGTCGTAAAAATGTCATAACCCCGAACGAAATGGTGGCTTCAGCATTGCAATGTTGTAAAAGTTTTTGCAGTGGAACGCAACTGGTCGTGAGACTGTTTGGAGCCCTCAAAGATGGGACCTCCTTCGCCTCCTCCTTTTCCACCACCTCCTCCTCCTCCTCCCTCTCTTTCTACTCGTCCTCCTCCTTCTTCTCTTTCTCCTCCTCCTCCTCTTTCGCCCCCTTTTCCTCATTTACATTCTTCCCCTCCTTCGCCTATTCCTCCTCCTCCTCCTTCCACTTTCCTCTTCTTCTCCCCCTCCTCTGACTCTTCCTCCTTTGCATTCTCCTTTTTCTCCTTCTTCGCCTCTTCTTATCTTTCTTATTCCTCCTCCTCATTTCCTTCTTCCCCTTTCTCCTTTTCCTCCTCCTCTCCTTACTTCTTATCCTCCTTATCCTCCTCCACCTCCATTTCTCCCTCCCCGATCTCCCTCTCATCTTCCACTTGACTTCCCTCCTCGAACCTCGAACCCGGGCCTTGTTGTTGTGGGAGGGCGTGACCGAGGACTGTGGGTCGTGGAGGCAAATTTATTGTGTTTAAATGGGAAACGGTAACGGCAGTCGCCCATTGGAATTTATGCCGAGAAGTCACAGCAATTGTCTTTCCACAGATTTTTAGTTGCCTCTTTTATCATGGGTCTTTGTTGCACTTGCATCCATTATTTGTTAATGTTGTTTCCGTTTATGTTGCAATTTATCCAGATGAGGCCTTTCGTCTTGTCGCGCTGACTCAGTGGAAATGACAAGCTAGAGAACGTCCGACAGTGTGAACGACCCGGAGAGAATGTTGAACTCCTTGTGATGAACAAACAACCTCTTTTATATAGATAATCGGTCTCCTTTCGATTTCGGGTAAGGAAAGATAGCCTTAGATCTCTAATCCATCTTGATTATTAGAGGTACATTATGGATTTGATGGATGGACGAGTGCCAGAAAAGTCTTGAACCTCGAGGCCATGGGAGTGCCAGCAGTCGGAGGGCGCTTTGAACGCCTTCGCTCCGCTGACTAATCGCTTAAAACACCTTGGTCACTTTTAATTTTCGGATTTTACCAAAGTATATTTTTGCCTGTGTGCTTGACCCGCCCGGACTAGGCTTAGATCCGCCTCGCAAGTCACCTTGCTTGCTCGAACACCCAAGCTGTTTTGAGTCACGTTGCAACTGCGAGTGCAGTTGCAAGGCGTTTCAAATTACTCGAGTGCTTTCAGATCAGCGAAGTGCCTGTTATGATTGTCGATATGATCGGTTGGATCTTTACCGGTTTTGCTTGCAGTCCTAACTGTGATTGCTGCCAAAATTTGAGTGTTGGAGCTGAAATTATTTATGGCGACATTATTTTCAACGCGACTGTTGTTATTATTAGTGTTATCATTACCATTGTTATGATGATGATTATTATTCATGTTATTATTATTACTATTATTACTGTTATCATTTAATGCTATTATTATCAATACTATTAAAATCATAGCAATCATGATTTTCACATCATTAAGCATTAGCATTTTGATATCAGCAGTACTTTTTTCTTCCTTTTTTGACTGAATAAATCGAAAAACAACGCAAAAGTAGACAATGGATTAATCTAAATTGCAAATCTAGATATTACTAACCACCGATTGATAAGGTCTTTTATAAGACAGCGTCCCTGGTGCCATTATACCATGGGCACTCTAATATTCGAGTGCCAGCTCTTCGTTATGCCGAGTCAAAGAAATGTAGCATTTCGAGAACGGAGATTTTCCAAGGTGTTTCCCTTTCGTTTGGCCTTCGGTGGAGATGTGGCTACGAGGCTCGGGTTATGAGACGGAATGAAGGCGGAACGCTTGGAAACAGAAAGTTAGGTGGTGTTTTTATTCCCGTGATCCGAGGAATAGTGGGTCTCTCCATACATCCATACACAAACACGAATATACCCATGCATGTACGCACGCCCACAAACACACACACACACGCATGCATGTACGCACGCCCACAAACACACACACACACACACATGTACGCATGCACGCACACACACGCACGCACGCACACGCACGCACGCACGCACGCACGCACGCACACACGCACGCACACACGCACCGCACGCACACACGCACGCACGCATGCACGCACGCCGCACACACACACACACACACACACACACACACACACACACACACACACACACACACACACACACACACACACACACACACATCGAATTTTTGTATACATTTCCAGCTCATCTATTATTTCATAGCACCTGAAAGTATAGCAGCCCTTTTAGATTTTTTTTCCTAAACGAGGTACGGAATAAATCCTTGAAACATCTTAACAAGAAATGTTCCCATAACTTCCAGGGAACGAATGAAAGAGACAACAATCTAAAACTTGGCCGCTCGGGAACATCCTTCTCAGTAAAATCAGCAGAGAGTTGTACATTCACTTCGAGTCCAGGAAAATTAAGGGCCGCGTCTCACTACTCCGTCCAGCGAAAGAATTTTAACTGACTCATCACCATAAGAGAGGATCGCGCCGCCCACTCTGCTTGCTGACTCGGAAAAAGAAAAGAAAAGAAAAGGAAAAAAAAAAAAAAAAACAGAACAACACTGTTCTTTATGTCAGTCACGAACAATCGGTCCGGCGGGCAGCTCAGTGTTCATTCATTCTCCATTGTTACGTTACGTCCTTCAGATGTTCACGGACACAAGATGGAGGAGTTATTGGCGAGGAGTTCTCTTTGCCAAGGTAGTTACTCACTGAGTCAGCCATAAGATCAGTCAGCTCATACTCACATACTCAGTTCCCTGGGCTCTGGAGACTGGCGTAATTGGCGTCATAAACGAACAGTTACAAAAACGTCAAGCTTCTTCGTGTTGCCAGAGTGACGATAAACTGGCTCTCTTTCTCTCTCTTTCTCCCCCCCCCCTCTCTCCCTGTCTCTCCTGCATCGCGCTCGCCTCTCGGAGTAGCTGCGTTATCTGTCCTGGCATATCTCCGGTTGAGCGATAACGTTAATCCGCGGGAAGAACACAGGTGGACATACCGTGAGGAGGATCAATAAAAAGAAAAGAGAGAGAAAAAAAAGATGGACTCTTACAAACCGACCGCTCGCACCATGCCAACCAGCCGTGGGTGAATTCCTGTAGGATTTCTGACAAGAGCCTCTAAAGGAAGCCTCAGGACTCTCAATTGAAGGTTTATAAGACTCGACTCCTGCAAGGCACCTGTTATCCTCCGTAGGTCCATTATAGTCCTATCCTCAACGGACATCCCCCGCGGGGACGGGCGGCTGCTAGCAGAAGGGAAGTGCCAAGACCGAGGTAAATCTTCACAAGGAGCGTCTCGGACCGGTCAGCCACGCGTCCTATCATTAGTCAAAATAAATTCATCGCTCGGTAATGTCTTCTGGAGCGAGATGAAGTGCCCAGAATAAAACGCGGAATTTGGAAGCCAAGCTGAGGTGTCTCCCGGGAGTCAAATGTTGTCGTTGTTGAACAAAATACACATGTCATTTTCTTTTGAATTCCTCGACATTTTTCACATTTTCCTTTCGTGCAGGAGTATATTGATTACCATACCTATTATTGTCATTTGAATTGCACATTGCTGCCGAGGACGCTGAGCTAAATGTAAATTACTACCGACAAGGCTCGCTGCAGCGCCACCGCCACGGAAAATTTTTAGACCGTTTCGAATACTTCGGTTTTGTTTTGGATCACTCGTTGTGGGAAACGCGGACAACCCCGGTGACAGCGCCGCGACTTCGGCTGTTCGTTCAAGACGCTTGGGGCTCGACCTTCCATGTCGAGGGCGAGCAGGCGTGGATGACTTCTAAGCCGAGAAAACGCCCGGGGCGCTGAGAGAATGACCGTTCCTGCAGCGTGTTTGGTATAACGAAGGCCGGCCTTTGGGAGGGGAGGGAAGGGGCGGTCGTGGTGGTGGTGGTCGGGCACTGGAGGGCTCAGAGCTACTACTGATGTGCTGGTGTTGTTCCCGGTGTTGCTGGTGGTGTTTCT